AAAATAAAAAATTGAATACTGAATTTTAAGTGATGAATGCTGAATTTTTTTATTAGCAAACTGTTTGGTATCAACTGAAATTTAAATATTAAATTTAATCAAACATTTGACAAATATAAGGAGTTAAAATTTGAAAATTATTATTATTCTATTTTTACCCTTCTCTTTAATCATCTCTCTGCAAATGTCTTATTCCTATCACCACCATCACAATAGTGGTGGTAGTCGTGACGGCAACACAATAGTGGTGGTGGCGATGACGGTGGTACAATAGTGATAGTGGTAATGCTGGTAGTGACAACGACATTTGGTGTTGGTGGTAGCAATGACAAAATGGTGATGGTAACGGTGACATAATAATAGTGGTGGTGACGACAAAACAATGGTGATAATGGTGGTAGTGATAGAATTGGTGGCGACAATGATGATGGTGGTGGTGACAATGGTAGTAGTGGTGGTACATTGGTAGTGATGGCAACGACGATGGTGGTAGTAATAGCGACACATGATAGTAGTGGTAGTGGCAATGGTGACAGTGATGATTGTGACAATGACAAATGGCAATGGTCGTGGCGGGTGGCACAATAGTGATGGTGGTGGGTGGTGGTGGTAGTGAAGGCACAATGGTGGCGGTAGCAGTGACATATTGGTAGTGGTGGTGGCGGCGACACAATGGTGGTGACGGTGGTAGTGATTGTAGTGGTGGCGACAATGGTGGTGGGGGGTGATGGCAGTAACAAAATGATAGTGGTGGCTGTTAGGATTTAATACGCTTTAAACCCACAGACAAANGTGGCGGCGACACAATGGTGGTGACGGTGGTAGTGATTGTAGTGGTGGCGACAATGGTGGTGGGGGGTGGTGGCGGTAACAAAATGATAGTGGTGGCTGTTAGGATTTAATACGCTTTAAACCCACAGACAAATACACACAATAGAAGAACAAACCAAGAACATAAAACAATAAAAAATAAGAAAGAACAAAACACAAAGATTTTACATGGTTCGACAATTTGCTTACGTCCACGAAGTTACAGGGTTTTCACTATTGAGAGAAAGGATTACAGAGAGCGGCTATACACCTCGATAAAACCCGAATCACCAAAGTAGTGGTCTTTTATATGTCCTACACACCGAGCTACAAAACAAACCCAAAATTTTTTTCTTAGGAGCGTTACAAAACTTATTTATGAGCGCTACGGCTTGGGCTTATCGGCCCAAGCCTTCGCTCTATGGACCAGGCCTCAAAAAAATTTTCATTAAAAAATCACACAACATTACTTCGGGTCGGGGTCATCGTCCAAATCAATATATAAACTAAACTCCACAAACAACCCAATAGTAGCGATAACGATGGTAGTGGTGATGGTGGCACAATGGTAATTGTGGTGGTGGTGATAGTGNAGCCTAAAATTTTTTTCTTAGGAGCGTTGCCCCCCGAACCCCCACAAAACTTGTTTATGAGCGCTACGACTTGGGCTTATCGGCCTAAGCCTTCGCTCTATGGACCAGGCCTCAAAAAAAATTTCATTAAAAAATCACACAACATTACTTCGGGTCGGGGTCATCGTCCAAATCAATATATAAACTAAACTCCACAAACAACCCAATAGTAGCGATAACGATGGTAGTGGTGATGGTGGCACAATGGTAATAGTGGTGGTGGTGATAGTGTTGGTAGTGGTGGTAATGACACAATGGTGGTGATGATAAATTTGTCCATTATGAAAAATTGATAAAATTATTACTAACTACTATTTTTAGCATTAAGTGATAAGTTAGTAGCTAGCTACTTAAAATTTTAACTTATTTTTAAGAAGTGCATAAAATATTAAGTAGCATGAGTTTTACGTTATTAAACGAGTTTAGTTTATTAAGTGTTTAAAGTATTAAGTTTTAATCCTTAAGTAGTGTTATCAAATAACCTTTTAGGTGGTGTTTGATAAAATCGAAAGCTGGATATTAAAATTTGAATGCTAAATTTTAAGTGTTGAATTCTGAATTTTTTAATTCACAAGCTATTTGGAATCAACTAAAATTTAAGTATTAAATTTAATCAAACTGTTTGACAAATATAAAGAGTTGGAGTCTAAAAATTATTATTATTCTAATTTTGTCATTCTCTTTAACTATCTCTCTGTAACTGCCTTATTCCTATCACCACTATCACAAAGGTGGTGATAGTGGTGACGGTGGCACAATATATGATAGTGGTAATGATAGTGACACAATGATATTGACAATGATAACAATGGTGGTGGTGGTGGTAAATAATTGTAGTAGTAGTAGTGACAGCGATACAATGACGGTGGTGGACAATGGTAATGGTGGTGGTAGCGACGACATAATAGTAGTGACAGTGGATGTTGCACTGACAATGATAGTGGTGGTGGCAGCAGTGACCGTGGTGGTGGCGGCTACAACAACAGTGGTGGTGGTAGCGGTGGCACAATGGTGATAGTGGTGATGACGTTGACACAATGNTTTAATTCACAAGCTATTTGGAATCAACTAAAATTTAAGTATTAAATTTAATCAAACTGTTTGACAATATATAAAGAGTTGGAGTCTAAAAATTATTATTATTCTAATTTTGTCATTCTCTTTAACTATCTCTCTGCAACTGCCTTATTCCTATCACCACTATCACAATAGTGGTGGTAGTGGTGACGGTGGCACAATATATGATAGTGGTAATGACAGTGACACAATGATACTGATAATGGTAACAATGGTGGTGGTGGTGGTAAATAATTGTAGTAGTAGTAGTGACGGGGATACAATGACGGTGGTGGACAATGGTAGTGGTGGTGGTAGCGACGACATAATAGTAGTGACAGTGGATGTTGCACTGACAATGATAGTGGTGGTGGCAGCAGTGACCATGGTGGTGGCGGCTACAACAGTAGTGGTGGTGGTAGCGGTGGCACAATGGTGATAGTGGTGATGACGTTGACACAATGGTGGTGAAAGTGGTGGCGATGACACAATGGTAGTGGTGGCGGAATTAATGGTGGTGATGGTGGTGGTACAATGGTGGTGATGATAGTGTTGGTGGTGGTGGTGGTGGCACAATAGTGGTGAGGGTATACTTGTCCATTATGAAAAATTGATCAAAACTTTACAAAGTAATATTTTCAACATTAAGTGGTAAGTAATATACNGATAGTGTTGGTGGTGGTGGTGGTGGCACAATATTGGTGAGGGTATACTTGTCCACTATGAGAAATTGATCAAAACTTTACAAAGTAATATTTTCAACATTAAGTGGTAAGTAATATACTTACTATTTAAAATTTTAACATTTTTTTAAGAAGTGCTTAAAATATTAAGTAATATGAGTTTTCAGTCATCAAACGAGTTTAATATATTAAGTGGTCAAAGTATTATGTTTTAAATCTTAAGTGGTGTTATCAAACATTCCATAATTTATCACTTAATTAAGAAAAAATACTCAATACAAAATATTTTATATAGAAATATTTTTTTTTTGGATAACAGAAACAATTATATACCACAAAGACTGGATAAGGAAACTGCCTTAAATCANAGTACTCAATACAAAATATTTTAAATAGAAATATTTTTTTTTTTGATAACAGAAACAATTATATACCACAAAGACTGGATAAGGAAACTGCCTTAAATCATGCGATAATTCCATTAAATTCGACAATTGTTATACTCCTCAAAACATGGATTTCAAATTTTAAAAAAAAAAAATACATAAACGTTGAAGCAACATTGAAGACCAACTTCTTTATGTTTCGATTCAAAATTTCAATTATGTGACATTACAATGATATATGACACTGTAAGATTTTCATTAATACTTTAATCACTGACAAAAAAATTGTGAAATTACATTCACTGATTCATACACGATCTAAATAGTATGTATCACATAATGTGACATCGATATATATTATTTTTAATTAATGATATTGTTACATCNGGCAAAAAAATTGTGAAATTACATTCACTGATTCATACATGATCTAAATAGTATATATCACATAATGTGACATCGATATATATTATTTTTAATTAATGATATTGTTACATCATAGTGTAACATTACAAAGTAAAATTGTTGTTAAATTTAAAAATAATTAGAGCCGTTTAATATTAAAAAATAATATACAAAATATAAATTTCAAAATTTGGGCCAAACTTTTGAGGTATATTTCATGTGGTATAATTTTAAATTTTAAATATGTTTAACCCCTTAAAATATAAAATTATTAATATAATAAATCAAATTCCATAAAAAAAAATAGGACTACCAAACTAACATGCACTTTAAATAAGAAAAAGGATATTTTAGTAAAAAATTTTTTTAAAATGAACACCTAATTACATTATATATTAAATTAAAAATATTTATCTATAAACAAATTTAGTCAAAATAAGTTTAAAAATATTTGCAGTTGTGGTCTATTATCTGCCCANATTTTTTTAAAATGAACACCTAATTACATTATATATTAAATTAAAAATATTTATCTATAAAAAAATTTAGTCAAAATAAGTTTAAAAATATTTGCAGTTGTGGTCTATTATCTGCCCATACAGTGCTGACGTGGACCTAGTCCCATGTAATAATTTGTCCACCTCACCATTTTCCCGCGCTTTCGAGAACTCTCTCGTTAGCCTTAACTGTCAAATTTGGACACGAACCCTCTCGTCCACTCTCGTCTCTCCTCGATCTCTCTGTTCTTCCTTCACCGTCCCTGAGTCATTCCTTTTCCAACCGCCTCTCGAATGTCCTCGGTGCACCACCCCTATATATACACCCCACCCCCTCAAACCCCCGTCAATCGAAACCCAAGCAATTCTTACAACTTCAAAGCTTTCTATTCCATTTTCACACACACCCACTTCGAACATTTCAATCCTTACAGCTTCAAAGCTTTCAATTCCATTTTCACAAATTCTCACTTTAAAACTTACATTCCTTTTCTTTTCAGCTAAATCTAGATTTTTCAAGCTCACTCACCAATGGCGAAAACCGAAGGTAAAGCCATCGGCATTGATCTTGGCACGACATATAGCTGTGTTGGTGTGTGGCAAAGTGATCGTGTAGAGATCATACCCAATGACCAAGGTAACAGAACAACTCCGTCTTATGTAGCCTTCACTGACACAGAACGCCTCATCGGTGATGCGGCCAAGAACCAGGTCGCATTGAACCCTGCCAACACCGTCTTTGATGCCAAGCGTCTCATTGGCCGGCGATTCTCCGACTCGTCTGTCCAGAGTGACATGAAACTCTGGCCCTTCAAAGTCGTCGCAGGTCCCGGCGAGAAACCCATGATCGTCGTCCACTACAAAGGCGATGAGAAACAATTCTCCGCCGAAGAAATATCTTCCATGGTGCTCATAAAGATGAAGGAAGTCGCCGAAGCCTTTTTGGGGCATATCGTCAAGAACGCGGTGGTCACTGTTCCGGCCTATTTCAATGACTCGCAGAGACAAGCCACGAAAGACGCCGGTGCTATAGCTGGGCTAAATGTCATGAGGATCATCAACGAACCCACCGCCGCAGCCATAGCTTACGGATTGGACAAGAAGGCTTCGAAGACCGGTGAAAAGAACGTGCTGATATTTGATCTCGGCGGTGGAACTTTTGATGTTTCGCTGTTAACTATTGAAGAAGGTGTCTTCGAAGTGAAGGCCACCGCCGGCGATACCCATCTGGGTGGTGAAGATTTTGACAACAGAATGGTGAACCACTTTGTAGCTGAGTTCAGGAGGAAGCACAAGAAGGACATTAGTGGGAATGCCAGAGCTTTGAGGAGGTTGAGGACGGCCTGTGAGAGGGCAAAGAGGACTCTGTCTTCTACCACTCAAACCACCATTGAAATCGATTCTTTGTATGAAGGTGTTGATTTCTATGCCACCATTACCAGGGCAAGGTTCGAGGATCTGAACATGGACTTGTTCAGGAAGTGTATGGAGCCTGTGGAAAAGTGTTTGAGGGATTCCAAAATTGATAAGAGTCAGGTTCATGATGTGGTTCTTGTTGGTGGGTCGACAAGAATTCCCAAAGTTCAGCAGTTACTTCAAGATTTCTTCAATGGGAAAGAGCTTTGTAAGAGTATAAACCCTGATGAGGCAGTGGCTTACGGCGCAGCCGTTCAGGCGGCGATTCTGAGTGGCGAAGGGAACGAGAAGGTCCAAGAGTTGTTGCTTCTTGATGTCACTCCACTCAGTCTTGGCATTGAGACTGCTGGTGGTGTAATGACGGTGTTGATTCCGAGAAACACCACTATTCCAACCAAGAAAGAGCAGATTTTCTCGACTTATTCGGATAATCAGCCTGGAGTGTTGATTCAGGTGTATGAAGGGGAGAGGCCTATGACTAAGGACAACAATCTTCTTGGGAAATTTGAGCTTCAAGGTATTCCACCAGCACCAAGAGGTGCGCCACAGATCAATGTATGTTTCGACATTGATGCTAATGGTATACTTAATGTATCGGCTGAGGACAAGACTGCTGGTGTGAGGAACAAGATTACGATTACGAATGATAAGGGAAGGTTGAGCAAGGATGAAATTGAGAGGATGGTCCAAGAAGCTGAAAGGTACAAGGCTGAGGATGAGGGTGTGAAGAAGAAGGTTGAGGCGAAGAACTCGTTGGAGAACTATGCGTACAGTATGAGGAACACAGTGAGGGATGAAAAGTTCGCTGGAAAATTGGATCCGGCTGATAAGCAGAAGATCGAGAAGGCGATTGATGAGACAGTTGAATGGCTTGACAGGAACCAATTGGCTGAGGTTGATGAGTTTGAGGACAAGTTGAAGGAGTTGGAGAACTTGTGCAGTCCTATTATTGCTAAGATGTACCAGGGTGGTGCTGGAGGAGACGTGCCAATGGGTGGTGGTGCCAGCATGCCGGGAGGTGGGTATGGCAGGGCTGGATCCGGTGGTGGCGCTGCTAGTGCCGGGCCCAAGATTGAGGAAGTGGATTAAATAATAAACAGGGTTCTTAGCTGGCTCTGTTTGGACTCTGTTTTCTTTTTCTTTCATTAGTGTGCTCCTCAAATAAAGCTCAGCTGTTAATGAAATCTATTTTTGTGTTCTGTTTCTGCTCTGTTTGTACTTTGTATTTTCTTTTGTGAGCTTCTCCAATAAAGCTCAGATTTCAAGTGTACTATGTAGCTTAAAAAATAAAACAGTATCTTCACAATGATTCTATTTCCACCCTTTTTGCTAATCGTGATAGTTTTCTGCCGAATTGGGTTTTCTTGGTTGTCTCTTGATCCCTGCAAAACAGATTATATGAAGCAGCACCGATTCGATTCTGGACGGTGGATTTGACAAGAAGAAATGGAATTGGTAATCTTCCATGAATACGATGAAACTAAAGTTGCAATAATCNGGGTTTTCTTGGTTGTCTCTTGATCCCTGCAAAACAGATTATATGAAGCAGCACCGATTCGATTCTGGATGATGGATTTGACAACAAGAAATGGAATTGGTAATCACAAGAAATGGAATTGGTAATCTTCCATGAATACGATGAAACTAAAGTTGCAATAATCACAGAGCACTGAAAAAAGAATACAAGAGAATTTCGACTTTCGCTTTGTGTAGATTAATGACTAAAATTGCATAATTGAGAGTTGTTGTATGAGCAGATTAACAGAAGTGGCTGATTATTACGTTGTGTAACTGTCACATACAAATCAACATATCTACCGTGTGCTTATGCTTCTACAAATTTGAAGGTATTAACTGTCCAAGAACAAAAGTGGGCATCTTATNTTGTGTCTGATGCTTCTACAAATTTGAAGGTATTAACTGTCCAAGAACAAAAGTGGGCATCTTATTCTCTGTAAAACCTTTATTCAGGAAGCACTAATTTGATTAATGAAATCATATTCTTTCATGCCCTGTAAGACAAGGGAAAAGAACAAAAGAAACCATGATAAAATATAGCATCTAAGCCACTCTTTGTGGTTTTCTGTTGCAAAGAATATTTTCTCCTCTCTTTCTAATCTTAAAAGTGAAAAACATCCCCTACATATTATACACCAGTTCATCCGTCAAGTTAGGTTGCCCCTATCCTCCCTATCCCTCAAACCTAGCAACTTTCTTAGTAAATCTATATTAGCCGGGGAAAATGAAAAAAAATCTTCTTGCATGGCTATTTATCATCCTAAGTGTACAAGTCCTATCAAGCTTGGCTTTTGAGGATCCTGTTATGTTCAGACGAGACCTTCATGGTATGAATTCTTTCTCTCTGCATGAATCTTTATGTATGGAAAGCCTTAGATAGTTATGTTCCAAAACTATTTTGCTTTTATGAAGCATGTGCAGGGGTAAACAGCACAATGATCAGTTCTCAAGGAGATGGTAATGACAGAGAGAATATGGTAACGCATGAAATTGTCTATTCAATAAAGGGAGTGAGAGGGAGGGGATCTAATGGTGGTGGCGGTGGAAATGTAATTCATCATCCACGTCCCAGTGAAAGAAGTGCGGTGTTTGTTCTAAACAAACCCTCTATATTCATCACAACAAGTACTGTTTGTGCAAGCTTTGGTTTGCTTCTTTCTATTCCCTTCTGATTCCTCGAGGTGAAGCTGAGATATAAAAAATTTAGAAGCTTAAATAGGATAGATGGGTTTTTGTCTCTGTATGTGCCAATTATCTTCCTTGTGCTTGTGGGAATTGTGAGAGGTGCTTCTACTAGTAGTATAGTATTGGTCAAGTAAGATATCAATTGTCTTCTGTACTTGTGCAACGGATTCTGTTATTGATTGGTGTAGATCTCTCTCTCCCTCCCCCTCTCCCTCTCTCTCACACACACATGCAGATTTCCCAGAGGGGATTGTCAGTCTCAGTAAAAGGAGTTTGAAACATTGCACACTAAATATAGACGGATTGATAGAGGCAGAAGAATCGAGGACATAGACCAAAGAGCTGCACAGGAAACAGCAGCAATGAAGCTCTAGCAGGAAAATATGAGAAAAACTGAAAAGAATCTTTGCCTTGAGTATGTACTGCATGGTCTTTTCTCCAACTCCCCTAATTCTTGAGCATGACTATGATTCTGCCCCCAAATTTCTTGTCCCTGTGCTCTATTTATGGGGGAAGAAAGCTTCTGATTCCTTCCACATGGGAGTTGTATCTTTTATAATTCCCTTTCCCTGGGTGACTGGGTCAAAAAGAATTCAGACGCAGGCAATCAAGGCATTGAGCCAGGGAGGTGTCTCCAAGCCTAAGTTTCTGCTTAATAATCAACTACTAACCATTCCCTATTTGTGCAACTACTTCATTGTAGCACATTCAAACCATTCAATCTTTAGGTGCAGACATGTCACCACTCATGAATGAAACACTACCAGCACCCAATTTTCAAAAAGAAAAGATTAGGATAATCATTTCTCCACTGTAAACAAAATTCAAATCCTACCTTCACCCCTTACATTCGATTAATAGCACACTACGAAGCTGTCTGAAGCCCAATTTCACAAGTTTGACAACATTTCCGTTATTCACTTATTTGAAATTTAGAATATGATTACTAATTANTGAGGATAATCATTTCTCCACTGTAAACAAAATTCAAATCCTACCTTCACCCCTTACATTTGATTAATAGCACACTACGAAGCTGTCTGAAGCCCAATTTCACAACTTTGACAACATTTCCGTTATTCACTTATTTGAAATTTAGAATATGATTACTAATTAGTAATACAATGTACTCGAGTTCCTTACATGCAGATGGTATTTGCCAATTGTAATCTAGACATGACATGAGTAATACATTTTGACAGAAACAAGAGTGTAACTTACAACAGACATAACTAATGTGTCCAGCATAGGTAGGGAAGAAACATAACTGCCAAAGAGAAAAAGGCTTTGGCATGTCCAAAATCAACTGGCTCGGATTAACCAGCATGAGTTGTCCAACAGTCGTTTCCTTAAATGTCATACAAGAACTTCTCAAAGAGTTTCATGTGTTCCAATTGCAGTGAAATAGCAATTGATAAACTCCCATCGTTAGTTGGACTTGGTAATACGAAACTTAACCCTTCATAAGCAATTCCACCAGGACCCATGAATATTGGCCGGCCCCAACCAAAGTCTGCATCATGAATGGGCAGCCTAACCCAACTGGTAATCCCCAGATTTGGGCACCTAAAAGTATGGGCGCCACGAACAAGGGCCTTCAAATCAGGTTGAAGTTCCAAGTAATCCAGAGCTGACCTTAAGTAATCATTGTCCATTCGTGTTAATGCATCATGAATTCTACTTGCAGCATACCATGTTGGCTTTGATTGGAGATCACCGGCTACTGCCAGAGGAGTGGCAGTGAAAATCACATTGCCAAAGTATCCAGGTGGAAGTGATGGTTGGAGTCTGGACCGTCCATCAGTGGCAATGTATAACTTGGTTTCTTGATCATCTGGAAGTCCACGTGCCTTGCATGCACAGCTCCACACATGTCCTGCTAACATTTCATAGGAGCTATAGCCAATAATATTCCCATCTTCCTTTGACTTGGCTTTGAGGGCGCTGAGTTGATCCCTGGTTAATTTGAAAATGGAGACAGCTGTTTCAGGAACTGATTCGGATTTTGGGGTTTCTGGAGAAGCTTTCATGGCAGGAGCGGGCTGGTATTCAATGTGCTGGAACTGAGGCATGGGTGTGTCATGAGCACGAAGTAGAGTCCGGTCAATAAAAGGTGGGACCGTTAGGTCAAGACCACGAGCCATATCAGACCATGTGTTGATAAAATGGAGACCAGAAGCTCCATCTGCTACATGATGTTGCATACCAACACCAAGTGAGACTCCACCACAATTGAAATATGTAACCTGCCCAAGAATCAAGACCAAAATCACAGTAAGTTCATGGTATTGAGTTGAATCAAGTTGTAAGTTCAATGCTTCTAATAAAACATAGCTGGAGCCAAAGTAGAGGATGCCAAGTTGCCAGTGGAAGTTAAACTAATGATGCCATCATTTAACGTGCACAACCCAGATTAAGTCATCAACGGAATTCCTGAACCAGGTATTAAAGCACAGCTTAGAAGTAAGCCTAATCTAGACTCTGAATGGCACTACCAAGCCCCCAAATGAAAATTCTCAACCCTCTTGACCCAAGTTAACCAAATTTGCTGTTTGCAATTCCATCTTCTGCTAGTCCATTTACCTCATCTGTGAATGATCTAAGAAACCTCCCATGTTGTTTTATGTTTTGAGTATCTGTATATGCAGTGTTGTTAGGAAAAGTTTCATATATGCTATTTTCTTCTGATCTAGTAGATGCATCAAACTTGGGCCAAATGTATGTGCAATAAAATTAAGATAGAGCCAAGGGCTTCAAACAACCATTTGAGGTTCGTGTTTGCTTGGTTTGATCATTTAAAAGTTTGACTCAGAAAGGAAAATCTGAAATTCTGGCCAGTGAAGGCACCTCTTATGCTTTTACTGAGGAAATGAAACACAAAGGAACTTTCTTCTTCTAACCAATGCTCTCCTAGAAGTGAAAGCGGTTTAATAATAACCAGGTCAACTCCAACAGCTCAGTTTACACACAAAAAAAAAACCAACGAGGATAAACATTTTTTGAATCTATAACTGAACAGCTTCAACCATAAACTAGAATGTGGTTGGCTTGGTTTGAATGCGTTTAAGCAACTAAACTTTGTCCCAACTTGGGACTGTAGATCTCCCCAACAATGTCACCTCCTACCTTGGATAAAAGAACAGAATTTGGAATATTAACAACTCTGTGGACCAGACGATAAGGGATTTATCCTTTATAAATACCCTAATTCCGATATAGATGGACTGTCTTTGACCAGACCGGAGAGAAGATTAGTCAAGATGCATGTAAGTTAACATCNCAGTGGACCAGGCGATAAGGGATTTATCTTTTATAAATACCCTAATTCTGATATAGATGAACTGTCTTTGACCAGACCGGAGAGAAGATTAGTCAAGATGCATGTAAGTTAACATCTGAACACCCCCTAATCGTTAAACCAAAAAAAAATTTCAAACTCTCTCTGCCAAAGCAGATAAACAGTATCAATAAACTAGACGATTGTTGGTTCTAATATAATTAATAAGTCCAACAAATTCTCAAAAAGTATGTTAGTTTCCAAATTGTTGGCCTAGAAGATGAGAAAGTAATGGTCCAAGTTGAATCACTTTTCACCCAAGCTGCATAATATATTTTGATTAGAACTTTTTTTCCAAGAAAAAATTGGAAAACTTGGAAAATGATCAAATCTCTAACCCAATGAATCATCAACCAATAAAAATAAAAAAAATATATTATTTGGATCTTTTTTAATTTGAGAGTATAATGCAAAGGCCTAATCAATTACACTTGTTGGATTAAAAGTGAATTATATTTAATATTGAAAGTCATAATTAATTCAACAGTTTTCTAAATTTTAGTTAATTGATTAGGAACCAAATTAGATCCGCTCATAATAAGAGTGTTATGGTACCGAAATGTATTTTTCAATACCGTCTCTCTACTTTTTAGCCAAATAAAATGTGCCCCCATGTGCTTTTTTTTACTTTATTATTTTATCACTTTTTAATTAATAATTATAGATCATCTAATTCAAAATTAAGAGAAATTTAAAAGTCGGTACAAAATTTGGACTTAATTAAGATAAACTACATTAAGGAAACTCACTTGACTCTAAGTTCATTTTTTTGGAAAAAAAACTATAATAAGTTATTCATTACTCAATTACTCTCCCACTCTCTCTTCCTTATTTCATCTTTATCTCTCTCTATCCCATATTTTCTCTCTCACATTGATTATTTATTCTCTTTTTAAATATGTAAAGATTTAATTTGATTTTTTCATCTCTCCCCTATTTTCTCTCTCTTACTCCCTCTCCCTATTTTTTCTCACCGTTACTCTTTCTCTCTCTCTTTATATCAAGGTTACAACAACACTCATCAATCAGTTACAATTGCCTATAATACATTAAACAATTACTCATGTGTTCTAATAAATTAAATAGTTACACGAAATTACAACACCAACCCATGATAAATTAAAAAGTTACACAAAATTATAACAGCAATCTAATTTATCATTCAGTTGTTTACATACTATTTAATATCATGACATAGTTACACCAAATTGAGTTTATTATTATACAAAAGAGTTTACCATTATTACTAGTTTACCCTTTTAAATAAAATTAATATTATAATAAATTAATAATTACTCAAAAAAAATTTAGCTAGAATAATATATGTAGTTATTAATTATATTAGTTTAAAAAAATTTAATAATAATTTTTTAAATGATGTTCAAGTAAACAAATCAAACGGGTGGCAAGTTAAAAGAATTATTATGTTAATCTAACTCTATTCAGCTAAATTTATTTATTAAACGAGTATTATTGTGCAACCCATTTAATAGACAAATCGTACTTGATTTTTAATTTTTGACCCATTTTTTTAAACAAGTTGTGTACAAATTTATTAAATTTTCACAAAAATTAAATTAGATTCGACATGTAACCATGACACACGATCAATGCCTTTAAATTTGTAATAACTCTATCAATAATATAATACATCACACTTATTAAATTAATAGAAGTCATAATTAATAGGGAGCCGGGCCCACCATCCATCCAGAGATTGCGACAAGAAAAAAGGAGAAGCATACCTGCAAGACTAGCAGAGAATACGACGATATCCCCAGAGAATAATCGACAGAAGGAATAAGCTTCCGTAGCTCAAGAGTCGGCGCAAAGTCCCCAAAATCATCGACCACCCCATCGGTCTCGGCCTCCACAAACAACACGCCGTCGCCATTACAATCGATCTCAATCCGACCATCCTCGTCCCTCTTCAAACGGCCGGCCATGGGGTAGAACGGGACGAGGGCTCGGCTCAGCGCGTCCTTGAGAACTTCGCCATCGAAGAAGTTCGAAGAACCGGTGGATCTGTAGAAGTAAACGCTGGGTGTGTGAAAGTTCGGCACCACTAGATCCACGTTGGAGTTCCATAGACTCCGCCGTGGAGTCTCCTGCGCCGGTCTCACCATCGTCGAGTCTCGTACAGTGATCTTCATTTTCTCCGCCGGCTGTGGGCTAACTTGCAAGCGCTTGTTGTTGGTTGTTAAATTGCACTGAGTGGGTGATCGAGCTGTTCAAGTTCAACTGCACTACGAGGGAAGAAACATAGTTTTAAGGTGACAAGAAAGGTAAGAAAATTTATGGGTTTTTCAATACAACGTAACATTGAATCTGGGTCCTGAATTACTGTAACAAGTACGCAAAAACACGTTATAGTTGATGTGGAAAATCTAATAATAAGACTAGAATGGAGGAATGAAGAAATGAAGGAAGAAATCTCACCTGTAGAATGCAGAATGCGATGTTGGTAGACGGATAGAGGGGGTGGGGGTTGGTGAAGGATTGGGTATTGATTTGGTTGAAGTGGGTTGATACTTTAAAAGGAAGTTAGAGCACTGTGTTTTATTGTTTTTGACCTTTTTTTTTTTTTTTTTGGGGGGGGTTTGGTTTATTTGTCGTTTTGTTTTCTTTGGCACTTCACCTACCGCGCCAACCAGCAACTATATTATATCAGGCAAAGCGAGGAGCAAGGTGTTTAAATTCTTGATTATTTAAATATTTCAATCTTATTTAATTTTATTCTATGTTATTGATCGACTACCGTAAAAATTGGGTAGGTTAGTGTAAGAAATTTTGGTATTTATACAAAATATTCATAAAAAATTTGTTTTTCTATCCAAACCTACCCGTGTGTATATATATGTGTGTGTGTGTGTGTTAAATTTGTGCAGAAACTATAAATTAGAAATACTATTAATGAGTTAAAATTTTAACATTATTGTGTTGGTTAATTGATGCATGTTATTTAATTGAATTGTTAAGATGATTCAAAAATTAATAACTAAAAAGATAATGTGTTTACTCGATTTTCTATCCGACTTCTTTCCCGATTGTTTTGGATAGAATTTGGATAAAAATAGTATACTTGATCGGATAGAGTACACTACAAAAAATCTCTTCTGCAAAATATAAGATAAGATGATAAAATATTATAATTTCTACTCGTAAGATAAGGTGAACACCCTTAAATGAGGATAGAGGGAGAGAGGGGTGTAAATGTTATATTAAAAAGGACTTGAGATGTGTTTTACTTGCGGCTTATAAGATTGTTGACGTGGTATACCAATTATACATAATATTTTTTCCCAGGATAAAGAAGATATAAAGAAAAAGGCCAATAGGTTGAAGAGAGAGACGAAGAAAGACATGATTGAAGTTGGCTTGAACACCCATCAGAGTCGAACCGTGTTCAATTTATTCTTTTCGAATATTTTGGTTTCGACGTAGATCACCTGTATTGCTACATAGCACACTAACTAAAGGAAGGACTTCACACAAGAAAAAAAAAAAAAAAGAGAAAAATTCTTATTCAAATGAATCTTTAGACCTAGATGTTCAAAATATCAAGTAATACTTAGCTAACTTTTGATAATAAATAACACAAAAAAAAAAACACCAAAATCATTATTGATCGCTTCCAAATGGGTCTTACCTTGTCCAATAGAGAAAATTTTGAACCAATCTTTGTTGTCTTTGACCCGTGGCAAACCCGCCCAAAAAATGTAGTCTCAATTAGCAAAATCAAGACCCATTGCAAAACAGAGAAAAAATTTGAGGTTTCGATCCAAAATTTGTAGAAAAGGAACCAATTTGTCCCGTGAGCTTCCCCCACAATACATCAAACCAATAAACAACTAACAATTATGATATTAACCAACGTTAAATTAAAAGAAAATGTCAAACGGGTATATATATATATATATATAATATGATGGAAGCAAAGTTGGTGAGATTGTGATCCTCCACCTCAGCCTTATTTTTTACCACTTCAGTCTCAACTACTCTTGAAAAACTACTACTTGCCCTCTCCAAAAACAAGGAAAAACAAAATGATTCTTTTGCTGGACCCACCAAAGCGTGTTAGGGAGAATTTTGCATATCATTATTAAGTGCTGTCCACACCTAATAAAAAGTTAGCATAATTCTAAGAATAATGTTGGAAGGATTTAAAAATTAAATTTGATACATCGCATTTATTGAATAGATAGTAAATTTTAATAAATGCTAAGATTCACACTGAAATTAATAGTTATAATTATCAATTCTTATTTTTGTGCACACATGTTGCGGGTAAATTACACTTATACTCCTTAAATTAACACCTATTTTTCACTTTGTCCCTTCAATTATTAGGTTTCTTACATTGTACCATTAACTAACATTTTTATTTTACATTGCCCCAATCGCAAACATATGTTATTTTTTTAGATGAAAATCATTGATGTGTGGGGATAAGGTGAAAAAAATTACATAGTTTGATTGGCAAAATAAAATATTTTTTCATTAAATATATAAAATGGATTTAGTTTTATATTTTTATTATACTTAGATTGAATCCTTAGAAGATTTCTTTAACTAACTAACGAATCGATAAGGGTCAACCTGGATTGGTACTTTCACCATTAAAAAAAACGAAAAAATGTATAAATTCATACATTTATTGGGCTTGTTTTCATAGAACTTTTCTTTAAATACTACCAAAATTGTGATATAGTGGGGTTATTGAAAACACACCACAAAAAACATGTAAGTTCCGGTGGTGTTTTGATTCAATTTTTCATGAAAAAAAAACTAATTTAGTGCAATATGTAGTAGAAAAGAGGTCTCTGAATATTGTATAATGATGTCACAAAAAATGATTTAGTGACATCACCTAAATACGTGTATTCTATTGTTGCGCTTATTTTAAATTCAAAAAAATAATTTATTGGGGGTGGGTCTTAGTGAAATAATGAAATTGAATGATCATGGTGTTGTGTTTCCAACGCCACTAAAATTCAATTGAGTGTCGTTAGTGGGAGAAAAAGGGGACATTTTCGTGTTAAAATGTGACAAACTAATTTGGTTGTATTATTCAGCAAGGTCAATGAATGATGGATATGACTTTGTGACATTTAATTTCTCGAGCGTAGTCTTTTCATGGATAATAGGTATGCTTTTATCAAGGATCCAAAATGCACTTCTTTACCTAAAATTTTGGCCTCAATGGTCCTATGGACAATGAGTATACTTTCATGGCACTTGGGTTCACAATGACAACAAAAATATAATTTAGTGACATCATATAGAAATTCTAGTTATTATTCGTGTCTTAAGGTACGGACTAATAAAAAAATTGATCAATAATAAACATATTTATATTCACACCTAAAATCAAATTACAAGAATAGAGAAGAGAAAAAGAATTTAAGCACTAGTTGTAATGAGTGTAAATGGTGAAAGTGGTGGTGGACGACAGTACTAGTGGTGGGAGACGGTGATGATTATAGTGGATGGCGACGACCATGGTGATGGTGACAATTATAGGTGGTAACGATGATGATGGTGGTGGTGGTGGGGGAGTGACGACGGTGATGATAGGCGGTAATGGTGGTAATGGTGGGCAATGATGGGTACTTTTGGACGATAGTGTGATGGGTGATAACGAATAACAGTTGTGTTGGCGATGGTAGGTATGGTGGGGATAGGTGATAGTGGTTGGCAACAATGGTGGGCGATAATAGATGGTGATGGTAGGTGTGGTGTGGGCGAGTGATAAAGGCTGGTGGCAATGATAGGCGATGACAGATGGTGGTGGTTTGTGGTAGTGGGTGACGGTGGATGGTGCTGGGCAACAATAGTGGTCGTGGGTGCTAACGATAGACCATGGTGGTAGTGGGATGATGGTGGTGGTGGTAATAAATATAAGAATGTGATAACAATGGTTGTGCATGATGACAGTGGACGACAGTAGTAACAATCTGTAGGGCAGTGAGGGATGGGGTATGGGTGGTAGTAGGGCAATGACAGTGGTGGGGCAATGGCGATAGAGGTGGTGATGTTGGGGTAGCGATGGTGATAGTAATGGTGATGGTCGTGAGGGTAGTGGTGGGATGGTGGCAATGATGGTGGTGGTGGGGGTGGCGATGACGGTGGTGGCGGGGCAGTGGTGGTGGTGGTTTTTGTGGCGACAGTGGTGGTGATGGTGGTTGTTATGATAGAGGTGGTGGTGAGATGACAGCGATAGTGGTGGTATTGGTGATTGTGGTGGGGGGTAGTTGTGGTGGTGATATGATGATGGTGATGGTGATGGTGGTAATGATGGTTATGATAATGGTGATAATGGTGGGGGTAATGGGGGGTAGTTGTGGTGGTGGAGTGACGGTGGTATGTAATTACCCATAAAAAAAAATTATTATATTATTTTGGTGTATTGGCTACCTAGAAGTAATTATATATATATATATATATATATATATATA